ACTGTGAGCTTTGGGGAAGGAAATACAATATTATAGAACATTTTATTTCCCTTGAAAAAACATCAGTCCTTCTTTCATTCAATTCTACCAATAAGAAATCTAATTTTCATCACTTTCTCATATCTTTTAGGTGCCTTGATTTTTTTGTTTGTTTGTTTTTGTTGTTGGTGTTGTTCTTTGTACTCTCAAATTTTACTTTGATTTTCCTGGGTATAATTGACTTGCTAAATCTTTCCTTTTAAGCTAAGGTTGCCATTTTTCTAAAGCTCTGGTAAATTTTACTCTCTTAAAAATGTTTTTTCTCAGTCCTATCTGGTTTCTCCTTGTCAAACACTTAGGAAGTATGAAAACTTCTGTATCTTTCTTCCATGTCTCTGAAATTCTATTTCATGTATTTATTTATTGTCTTTATTTGTTGTCTTTAACTTTGTGAAAGAGAATACAGATCTCACAAAATCCAGACGACAAAATGGGGTTGGCTCCTTATTTGCATCACAGTCTTCCCCATCCTCTTTCCTACACAACCTGAGCTCCAGGCACTGTGATTGTCATATTCCAGAATGTTGTGCCCTCATCCTTAATGCCAAGATCCTCACATGCAGGCTGAAACACCACTCTCTGCTAACAGATTTTCTCTTTTGTTCTGGACTCCCTCAACACTGCCCACACCTCTAAAGTAACACTTGCTTTTTCTCTGTCTTCTGTATTCCCCCCACCCCCCGCCCCCCCGCCCAGGGTCCAGTACCATACATCATAAACAGGTAAGATTTAGGGAGGGTTTACAAATTTTGGACACTTCATAAAATGTTTTACACAATAATTTGTTGGGAAATATTAATAGTAGTCATAAACCCCAGTATACAGAGGAGAAAACTAAGGCGAAGATTTGTCAGAAGTCACACACAGAGGCTGTGTAGACAAGGGGACTTGGAACCTGGCTATTCAGATTAGAGCTCATACTCCACACTGTGGTGACGAATGAGTCCATCAGTGAGGGAGCATTTTTTCCAGGGAGTGCAACTATGTGTAAAAAAGCTAGGCTTGGGGGTGCAGACATGATTTAAATGAATCAAGTACCCATAGGATCTGAATGAAGGCAACAACTACCTAACCGAGTGCCTTTTCTCCTGTGCCATTGTGTTTTATTTTCCTTCTGAGACCAGCCATTTCCTTAAGGATGTCAGTCCCACTTATGTCTAACCTGTGTGAGCCCACATCAAGGCCTGATGGGGGCACAGAGTGGTCAAGGTGACCTTCACTTTGGAAGGTTGACAGGAGAGGAGTCACATCTACAACAACAATAGATAGGGCCTTGGGAGATGTGGGCAGAGCCCAGAAACACCTCCCCTTAGAGTGAGTTCTACTGGTGATTTTGTTCTGAGGGAGCACAGAACGGAAGAGAAAATTTGCCACTAGCTGCAAATGCCCTATCAGAACATGTTTGGGTAATTCTTAGACATATTTTTCTTTTTGGTCAAGCAACAATTGTACTTGACTCACAATGTGTATGTAAGTATAAGTGTAAGTATATAAGAACCATCTCCTGATTTAATCTCAGCAACAGACAAAAGATTAGAATCACATTGTAAATTTTCCTTATTGGGTCATTTTTGCTGAGAAAACTAATGGGAAATTGTTATCCACTCCCGTGATGAGCTCAGGTCACACTACCAAAGGGCCCCATCTGTCTACAGAGTGACCAAAGGCAGCTTGTTTTATCTTGGATAAAGGGGGACCGTGGTGTCCAATTGCATCTGCCCAGGACTGGGCTTACCTGTTGATCTAACACACATACAGTGGTACATGAAGCTGACCTGAGCAGCCTGCTGCTAATTAGAAATACCTGTTCTGTTTATTTAAAAAAGAAAAATGTTCCCTTTTGCTGATGTGAACCAGTTCAAACTTAAGAGAGATTTGTCAGCTATCTGGTTAATATTATTTATACGAACAGTAGTAAAGATTAGCAAACACTTGGTTCATTGTGCCATGATAATCAATTTTACAGCACACTTACCTTGAAAGAAATTTATCTTCATGAGAAAAACATCAGACAAATCTTAGTTGAGGGACAATCTACAAAATGCCTAACCAGTATTCTTAAAACTGCCAAGGTTGTCAAAAAAAGGCAAGTATGAGACATCATCACAACCAGGAGAATCCTAAGGAGACGTGATGTGATGTGGTGTCCTAGATGATCCTAGTAGAGAAAAAGGAATATCAGGTAAAAACTAAGGGAAACCTTAATTCGGTCTGCAGCTCACAATAATGCAATCAGATTGGCTCAGTGATTGTGATAGATATACTATAATAAAATAAGATGTTTCTAGTAGGGTGCACTAGATTGCAGGGCACATGAATTATCCTCACAAATTTTAGGAAAATCTAAAACTTTCTAAACTGAAATCTTTATTTAAAAGATATAGATAAAAAACTTAATCCCTAAGCGTGAAAATTTCCTTAATCTCAGCTTCCCTGAGTTTTGGAATAAGATAAAAGTGTACCAAAGTAACCTATAAGTAGAAACCACATTTGCTGAGAGCTGACTGCATGCCAGTATTCTAAGAGCTTTACATCCATTACCTCGGGTAATGCTCACAAATGCTCCTACAGGGCTGATAGCCTATTTTACAAATGAGGAAACTGAGACAATTCAAGGTTAAGTCATTTGTCTGGCTCACAAAGCAGCTGTAGAGTCTCCAGAGAGGGGACTGTAAATGAAGAGAAAATCACAAAGCAGTTGAGATTCCAAAGCCATGAACACATTTGGACCCAGAATATGCTGATAAGTGAGGTTGGGGTGTTTGAGGCCTGAGCCACTTCCCTGCACTCTGCATCCATCCGCAGCCTGGGAGGCATGCCACTCATTTGTCATCCAAGTGATAATGTACTTGTGAAAAATCATATTCTTTTAAGGATGATTAATTTATCTGACAAGTCTGAGATTATGACAAATGACTCAGAAGGAAGAGAATCCATCAGCAGGAAGGGTCCTGAGCACAGACTGGCCGGAGCCCCTTCAGATTCAGGTCACATGCACGACCCCCTCTGCCTGCATCATCCACCACTGCTCAGCTCAGCCTCCCTCTGTCTAAGCAACTCCCCATCTGAGACAGAAGATGCCTATAGCCCCTCCAAGACGATTCTCCCCTGCTTGTTCTCATGGATCACAGAGAACATTCTGGAGCAATTTCCAATATGTATGTTTTTAGCCCAACTCACAAAATTGGACACATGCAGGAACATGGGGTTCATAGTCTCCAAATGCAGCCCATCTGGTGGCCCCTAGGTTGATGTAAGAGAGCCAGACCAGCTGCAGACTTTTCCCAAGTCCAATATTCCATGCCCTAGTCAATGGCACCAAACCCTAGGAATGATGCTGGGCTGCCCATCCCCTCATCAAGTCTATCAGTCAGCAAATATGGGCATCTCCACCTCTGAAGCCCAGCCCAAACCCATCCATCCTTTGCATTTTTGATCTCAGCACTCCAACCAAGCCAGGCCCACTTGTCACTCGGCTGAGACAAGGACCCTGAACAAGGCTCTAGGGGCAGTAGAGTGTTATTGACATGCCATGACTCATTTGAAAATCACAATAACTGATATTTTAATCTCCATCTGCTTAACTTGTTTGTCTACCTCTCAGCTCTTTCCAAACTTGGATGATGAAAAGAAAGGGAAAGAAGTGCTATTTATTAACCTCTCCAAATCCCCATATATTAGAATTCAGTAAGTATACTTTCAACATGCATGGAGGAGTATACACACATATTCATTTAATTTTTATTTATTTAATTTATAGATTCAATGTAAACACTATTTTAATTTACATATCTTTAAGGATTGATGCATATTTTTAATTTACTGATCTTGACAGATAACCTTCTCCCATCTCGCCTTCTTCTCCAGATACTGAGTCCTGGAGGTAGCAAACCCATGGCTCTGCCTTTAGACACTGTCTGCTGTCCTCTGTAGTTTGCTCTACCCATCAGAGATGGTTCTTCATCCTGGTGTTTGAGTGTTGTCTGTCCCCTGCCCTTTGGGCAGGATGCTATGCTTGCTAAGCTGGGCTGTTAGGGACTTGCATGTGTTCTAGGACCCCGGGACTTAATGGGCTTGGAGGGCATGGTTTCTCCCAGCCCGGAATCCTTAGCACACTTCCGAAGCACAGAGTGAGGGAGTTAATCACGATATCCACAGACACAATGACATCTGTGGCTACTTCCAAACACTTCCAAGAGTTCCTGCCCATTGGAACCTTCATGCACCAGAGCTGCTTTCACAGCTAGGGATTGTCTTGAGGGGTTTCAAAGAGTTTCCAGTAGGACTGCCACAGAACAAAGCCACTCACTGTGGATTTGGCAGCTAAGCCACAGACACCTATGACAAAGGGCTTCTAGGCCATTCTGCTTCTTGGGGCACATCAGCTTTTTTTTTTAAAGATTTATTTATTTATGTGTGCAAGAACTAAGCTGTAGGCCAGAGGTGTTGGGGGTGAGAGGATTCACCAGAGACAGAGTGGGGAGCAGATCAGGCAGATCTATTGAAATATACTGCTGAGGGGAGCAGCGGGTGAGACACGAGAGGTCTGCTGCACCATGTGTGTAGCTCCCTGGCTAGAGATCAAACTCAAGTTGCAGTGGCTGGTAACAGCTTGATAGCCCTGGGTCTTTAACCCCTGTGCCACCAGGGAGGGCCCCACATCAGTATTTATAACCTGAATGGAGAGCATTGGTCTTCAGCATACTTCTCCATGTTCTTCACACGGTAAACCTTGTGCTGGGTGAAACAAAGCCACTCAGGACAAGTGTGGGAGAATAAGACATATGTGGATCAGGGGAGAGAGACGCCCCCGTGGTCTGTTTTGCCTATAGAAAATCAGGTGATTACCGAGAATCCAGAAGCATTCGCTTTCCATTCACCAGTGTTTCTGCCATTCACAAACCAGATGTCTTAATTAAAATGCTGCTAAAAGAAGCAAATCAATTAACAGATACCTTACAAGATGGTTTATTCTATCTTACACAGAAAATTGCTTATGAGTATCACATTACTGCTTTAGGTTATCAGTTAAAAAAGGCTGCTAATGAACTACATTGTTATCAAGTCACATAAAAGATGCCCTGGGAATTCAAGCAAATTATAATAACACAGCACTTTCTTTTGAAATGTAGCTCATCTTTCATCACACACAAGGAGAGTAACCCAATCCCAGAAGAACTAGGCCACACAACCACCCAGATTTATGTCAAAAGGAAAAGCAACGAGTATTTTGTAATGCAGCCCCAGAAATAACAGGGTTAATATTACAGGGGAGAGAAATGTCAATGGGACCTGTGCCATTGATACGGGTTGGTGGCAACAATATAAAGATGTGGGTTTCCTAAGCCTCTGCCAGTAGTGTCCTCCATACACAAGTATTTCACATTGCAATAAACACAAAATAATTCTCTAAGCATAACAGTAATCACTTACATTTTTATAGCTCTCTACAAGACATGGCATCTGCTTTCTTATTTAATCCTTTGTTGGCTCCATCATTTGAAGATCTGCACGTTCACTCTATGATCAGCAAGACCTCTCTCTCTAGCCCAGCCACCACGTCTTCTTTCGGAAGATCAGTCTTACATTTCTAGGAGTCTGCCCCATGTTCTCATGTTTCAGGACCCCTGAATGTTCACAGCGTCTGTCTTTAAAGTGTAATTCTTTTGACAGCTAAGAAGGTAAAACCAACAGTTCTAGAAAATGCTGTATACTTGTTGATAAGACAGTGAATGCTAAGGAGGCTCTGTCTTGAGTTCTGTCCCCATTTCCATGAGCTATTTGACAGAGGCACTGTAGATTCTCTTCCTTCTATTCTTCACCCTGAATATTGAGTTCCGCGTGAAGATCCATCACCAGCTTGGAGGCTCAAATTCAAGATATCCCCAAGACTGTAACCATGAGCACTTGTCCAGACTGCAGAGACGGTCCTGAAGAAGCCGCTCACTTAGAGCTCGATCACTTGTGCCTCTCTGGAAAGGAAGAGAGCTATCTGGGAAACTTACTGATAGTGCGATCTTGCTCTAAGTCATCTTGGCATAAGACACACACAAAGCAGGTATAAAGGGTTCATCAACAAGTCTAAGCAAGGTGAGATGTTTCCTGGTGCAGCACAGAAAGGGACCTGAAGACCTCAACCTAGAGGCTGTTTTCTACCTCCCAAACCTGAGGCCACAAAACCCCACCCACTTTTGTGATAACAAGAAAAGTCATTCCCCAAGGCAACAGGCACATCTTGGGGAAGGTACTGCTTTCTGTACTTGAAGGGTTTGCACAGATCTGAGCAGATGCTATGAAGAACAAAGAAGACATGGAAGACAAGCAACATGGAAACAAGCCAGGATGGTGAGAGAAAGATGTGGAGGAAGGGAATTCCATGGGAAGACCAAGATACTATGGGGAATTTGTTTTTCTCTTTTAAAAGATCATGAGCCCACAAAATACAGAGTTCAGATTGGTCTAGAGATGCAAGGATTCAACAGATCTTCATTCCTCCTATTACCTTTCACAAGCTCTGAGTTAAAAAGCCCCCTGGCTAAGGAGAGGATATACAGTGACGGGATCTAGCCAACATTTTCACAGGAAATACTGATGTCTGGAGAAAATGAGCAAACCAGATAGCTGCCTCCTAGCATCCCTGATGGCGCTGAGCTGGGGAAGTGGTACTGGTAAACTACCTCTTGGAGGAAGCTGTTCTCTGATAGGGCAGCAGTCCCTCTGCAGACAGGTATGTTCACTGCTCCCTAAAGGCCTGATACAATTTATGAGAAAAAATAAACAGGGCAGAGGCTGGAATAGCACCTGCTGACTGGACTACTAGGTGAATCAGGTGGCAGACCTTGGCTGGGCATCAAGAAAAAGACTTTTGGAGACTATAGAGTTATAATGACTGCTGAAACCCAAATCTTCTACCATAACCACAAAAAATCTTACAGATCAACAAAAAGAAGAGGAGAAGAAAGACTAAACTAAAATAATGACAAGGGCATCTATATATTCTGGAGTATAGTGTCAAGGTATAGCTGGTGAAGATAACTTAATGCCTGCTAATGCTGAAAAGTCTTTTGACCAATTCTAGCACACATATGATTTTTAAAACACAATAAAATTATGTTTTATTGGAATTGATAGATATTTCCTTAACATGACAACATGTGTACTTCAGCCCTAAAGCCAGCATTGCACTAAATGGAAAGCACTAGAAGATTTCCTACCAAGATCATTCACAAGGCAAATATTCATCCTGTTTCCATTACTATTGCATTGGTTTTAGCCAATGCAGAGAGGAGGCATAAGAATTGGAAAAGAAGGTCTACAATTTATAGTATCACAGAAATGTAAGAGAACAAGAAAAAAAAAACAGACAAACATAAAAGCATTCAATAAGGCAGCTGCTATAAGGTTAACAAGCAAAAAGAAATCCATAAACAATCAATGACCAAATAGGAGACATAATGGAAAACTTCATTTAGAAAAGCAACAAAAACATAAAATATTTAGGAGTAAACTTAACAAGAAATATGAAAATCCCTCAAGTAAAATCTGAAAACTCTCCTGAGACACACAAAACCAGACATGCAAAAAAAAAAATCTCTTGTCTCTGAAGAACTGCTTAACTTTATAAAAAAAAGTCAACTGTCCAATTTAATACATGAAAGGAATGCAACCCACCCCACCCAATACCAAGATGTTCGCCTCCTGAGATAGACTCTGAAATTGATGTTAAAGTTTCTATGGACAAAAAATATGTGTATTTTAGCCCTGAAGCCAGTTAGAGCAGAAAAGCAAGGAGGAGCCCCTGAGAGGGAGCACCCCACATGGGGACCAGCCCTGCCAGAGGGCAGTGGGTGCCAAAAGCACCCACAAGTGGGAGTACAGTAATAGCACGTGCTGATGGTGAAATACCAGCAGGGAACAATAGTCATGAGAAGCCACCAGGGAATAATACTGTCTAGAAATAGTCAAAGCACATATAGAAATTTAACACATAATGAAGGTGGCAAATAAAACACTGGGGGGAAATGGGGTGGTTTTAAAAAATGATATTGAAATAACTGGATTGTCATTTGGGAAAAAGATAAAATTGGGCCTATATCTCATATTACACACCACAATAAATGCCAAGCTGATTAGATTCAAATAAAAATAAACCCATAGAAGATCTAGGGGGAAAGTACATTTATGGATGTATACATAGAGATGCAAGCATTTTTTTAATTTTATAAAAGTATTATATATATAATTTCTTAATTAAATAAATTTTTGAAAAGGAACAGAAGAAGGCAAAGCTCAAATTAATGAAAAGTGGCCTCAAAGCAGTGGGTGGAAGCAGGGTGGGGTGGACAATGGGTGGAGGAGATGTCTAAGTTTACCTGTTTGCATATTTTTATCTTCAAACCATATACATTTTTATGTACTCAATAACTAAAATTAAACTACAAGAAATAAAGCAAAGATTAAAACAACATATACTGAAACAAATTTTCTAACTCTACATCAGATTGCTAGCATAACCACACAGAACATGATTAATTCAATTTGAATGAACATTGTACTCTGTACAGATGGAAGGTTAAATTCTAAGAAAGAACAGCAAAGAAGTCTTCACATTTCTTAATAAATCCATAGTTGTATAATGTCATTCTGGAAGTGTTTTGTGCATATTGTAGTTTGCTTAGAGCAAATGGATAAAAGCATATATATAGTTGAGGAAAAGTGTTTTCACTCTGAAGGAAACAAAACAGGAACATGCCATGAAGACAGCTTAAGAGAAACTTGTGAGTCTGATTTAGTTTGTGATTTAATATTCGTTTCCTGAGTTTGTCCATTGAAAGAACCTAGAAACGATGATGATGATATATGCAATCATGAACATATATTTCACCCAGATTTTGGTTTCTAAAAACTATTTCATGCCAGATAAAAGGAAAGAAGGACAGATGGACAGAAGGAAGGAAGGAAGGAAGGGAGAGAGGACAGGCATCACAGCACAAAGAAATAATTCCAGGTCTGAGAAGAGACAGTACAAAGTAAATCTGTGACACTATGTTGTGTCAAAAATCTGTGAAATAAACATTGTTAAAAAATGAACGATGATGTAAAATACATACGAATAAATTTTTTTAAAAAGTGCTTAGTGATTAAAGGGATCCTGTAAAATGCCACCAAGAAGTGAGTCATTCCAAGGAGTAACTTGGGGCAACTTGAGGATCAAAAAAATCCATGATGGTGCTGAGTTATAATTCACTGAAGTCCATGGGAATAATGTTCAACAAGTAAGAGGAAGAAAAAAAGGAAAGCAAAACTTTTTTCTAGAAGAATGTCATCTCTTAAATGTAGAAGGAATGCTAGAATGGGAAACTCAGCTTTTGGCAGTCCCCAGTGCATACTGATTCAAACATGGATCATGAAGAGATGTGAAATCATTGGGTGAAGAGTTGTTTGAGGTCAGGATGTTTATACAGCCTCAATGTGTACCACTCTTCAGATGATTTGCTAATTGCAAAGGAGATATTTAGTCTCTAAAGGCAGAGACCAAGTGATCACTTCCTTAACTGAGCTACCAAAGGCAGCATCAGCAAGAAAGCGAGCCAGGCACCCCACACCTGCTGATGCAAAACAATGACAGTCACAGTGTCACCTCTGGGGTTTTTAACAAAGCTCTCAACTGAGTCTACTTAGGAGGAAACAATCAGAAAAATCCATAAAATGGGGCATCATACATGACAACTTGCTCAGGTACTTCAAAACTGACAGTTCCCTGGGGAGAAAGGACAGAGGAGCTGCCCAACATTGGAAGAGATTAAAAAGAGCCAAAATCAAATACAATGGATCCTGGTGTTAATAAAAGATACTTTTGAAGTAATTGAAGAATGAGTATGGACTGTTTAACAGATGATACTTTGAGTGATCACTAATTTTATTAGGCTTGCATTGTGATTATGTGAGAGATACCTGGTGATGTACTTGGGGTAAAATATCATCACTCATTTTTAAAAGGGGAGTGAGAACACGTGGGTAGTGCATGCGGTGCAGGAAAGCGGGAATGAGAATTGTAAAACAATTCAGATAAACCTGGTAGAGACACCTCCTCACAGCAGGGCCAGCCTGGGCTCACCATGCTCCTGACCCCTCTTGCAGACCTATTTCACTCTGAGACAACAGTGAAAAGCTGACCCTTCTGTCATACTGGTGGCTTGATGCTACGAAGAAAAGTTTTGGAATTTTTTTTTTCTTCAAGTGGACTTAGTTGGCTCACAGTTTGGCTTCTATTTAAAGTTTTGGTAAATGAAAAATGGTAACTATCCTGCTGTTAAAACCCAGTTTTCTCAGGTCTAATCAGGCAAATTAGACGCCACAGCTTCATTTTATATCTTGCCAAAATACCACCATTAATAGGGCTTCCTACATAGGTCCCAAAGAGAGGCTGGTTTCTGGCACAGGGCCTTCTGGCCACGGGAAGCAACGAGCCGCAATCCCCCTCCTGTCCTGTAGGAGGCATGCAGAAGAGCCGCCCACCACCACCTCAGAGCAAAGGTCTTTCCTCCCATAAGTAGGCATCATCACTTCTATAACTCACCTCTCCGAGTGATTGAGATTTAACCTGCAAAACAAGAGAATAAGATGTTCGCTCAGTCATTCCTAGATGACAGAAAGCATGTGCAAAGTTTTACTATATGAGAACGACTTGTGTTCCCTTAGATTTTTCTTCTGGATCTAATTTCTTCCTGACTCCATCTAGTGTCAGTTTTGGAAACTAGAATTTTGTCTCCCTCTCCGAATATCCCTCTATTTGCAGAGGAACTCTGGTATGATAAGTGCCAAGAACAGTTCCTGCCCAGGTTGGGGGAACACATCCCAGGAGACATAAACACCCCAGCAGCCATTAACTCCTGGCCACCCACCTCTCCTGGTCCTTCATTTCTTTCACCATCCTGCCTTTCTTTTCCTGCATTTCACTTCCACAACGCTTATCACTAATGACTATCACAGCCACCTCACCTGGTTTATAGAAACTGTCTGCTATACGCCTGATATAGCAAAATAATCCAGAATTTCTATACACACACATAGCCAAGTTACTCCTCCAACACGATCACACACAGGACATAAAACTACAGTGACCGCTGGTGCAGTGATGGTTGTAAATTGGTATGTGTTGTAATGTTCACGGCAGCATCTCCACACATATGTGTGTGTCTGTTGTTCATGAGGAACCCTCGCAGCATACACACATGCACCATGTACCAGGATTGAGTGCACAACACTTTAAGTGAGTTGACTCTACAGCAAGTCCTCGCTTTATGTGGTCAATATGTTCTTGGATACTGCAACTTTAAGCATCAAGATGTGTAAATAAAGCAGGTCCTCAAATAACATTTCAAGTCAACTGGGATCATTTTATTTTATTCTCATTAACAAACAACCGTTGAACAAAATGATGTTATTTGAGGACCTGCTGTACCTATGTCTCTAGCCTCTTCTCTCCACACCTTCAAGGCCTAAGGTCCAGGCGTTTATTCAACACTTACATGAGAAACACTCTTCCATGCACTGTGTTAAGTGTGGGGACTACAGAGATAAAGGGGAAATCCTGCATCAAAGACTTTGCATTTTACAGGGCCAGCCATCAAAAGAAATAGATAATTCAATATATTGTACAATGCCAATAGGGGAAAAGAATGTTGAAGAAGGGAGTTTCTATTTTAAATTGCCATGCAAATAAAATGGTGGCACTGAAGCAGAAATGTAAAGGAAATTAGGGGCAATGCTTGTATGTGGCTGAGAAAAAAGCATTCCATGTGATAGAAAACAGCAAGTGCAAAGGTCCTGAGGCAGGATTGTCCTTAGGACATAGTGTCTACGCAGAAGAGCAGGGAGACTGGGAAGCCAGGTAATGTGGACCATACTGCATATGCCTTCCCAGGGGGGTCATAGTTGGGGAGAGGGACCTCATTCTGTGTGTGTGGAGGGAGATGCTGGGAGATTCTGTGTGGGGCAGAATCTACCTGAGGTGGTGTGGAAGCTAGCTCAAGTCCCATTACTATACCTTGTGGCCCTTCCACTGTCCTGACACCTGCCCTCTAGCCCAGAGGAATGGAAAGTAGGAGGAGAGGCCATGGGGTGCATTCTCATCCTCCAGGAAGTGTTTTGTGGTGGAGAAAAGGACTACAATGTCAGGTAAGGATGCAGAGTGGAAAAAAAAGGAGGGAAAATGATACCCCTCAATAACTGTGTTGGCACCCACCTTACCTTGAGGCTCTCTTCTTGTCATGGGGTTCTTTTAGTGTCGTGAAATCTAAACAGAGAAATGAAGGCATTAGAAAGGAGGCAATGTGATCCCCAGAAAAGCTCGCTCCATGCCAGACAAGTGGGAAAGCATCAGAATTGACTCGAGCAGGAAAAAGAGATCCCTTAGGTGGGGGTCACTGGGTGGGGGAGGTCTTAGTGCCCTGCCCCCTCCCTATTGGAACTGTTGGCATCTCCCTCTCCATGTCCCATCACTGAGCCCCCTTGGTTCAGCACACAGGTGGGACTGAGCCTTCCCTACAGCCCATCTGTTCCTCCTCCCCTCCCTCTGCACTTGTAAGTCCTGGGCCCTCTTGTCCATAAGTGGCCTGGCTTTATGACGAGGAGGCTGTTTTCTCTCTCTCCCCCCTTCTCCTTATTCATAGAGATACAAAATCACTGGTAAGCAAACTCCTATGGCCAATTAAACACTTATGCAATTGACACACTGGCCTCTCAGGAGGCCCCGAGTGCTGTGTCCCCTCCTCTTTCTGACCCAGACCTCCTTTTCTGTATATCTTCACAGATAACAGCTACATTTGCCAGAGAGGCAGTAAGGGTCCTTCCTTTTTATCCTAAGGAAAATGTTGTGGCACATTGCATCATCGCCCCAGTGAGCAGCTTTACCTGACGAGAAGTTTTGGTGGGTTGCATCTTGAGATAAGAGGGTGCTGAGGTTGCATCTCGCTGCCAAACTCCCAAATGGACTGCACCTGAGTCTCTGTGGGACCTGCTTCCCAGCAGGCACCACAGGGCATCAGGAGCCATGCCAGGGGCACATAAGCCCAACTCTGTTTTGATCCTGAGGACACACTCAGCACTGCTCAGAGTGAGACTTGCCCGATTTATGGGGGGGGAGTGTGGGAGGGGGTGGAAATTGGCCCACATAATCAGTGCTGCAGCATCTCCCACCGCCCACATTTGTTCTGATCAGCCTCATCACCTCCTGGGGTCAATGTGATGGGATCACATTATTTGGATAAGAAAACAGAAATTTTGACTCTGCTCCCTGTCCCATCCTTCTTCAGGAAACCTCATCCTAAGGATATTGAGTCAACTGTAGAAAGAGAGAGAGTAAGAGAGAGAGAGAGAGTAAGTGAGAGAGAGAGAGAGAAGCGGGCAGAAGAAGGAAGGGGAGGGATGGAGGGTGGGTGGGAGGGAGGAAGGTGCTGCACTTAGTCGATGCATTTTCAGCCCGTGCCTTTTTTGACTTTCTCTGCCAATGTCATGAGTAGACCTTGGTCCTCCCTCTGGGATGCTGACTGGGATTGTCCTTGTTCCCGGCAGGGGCATAGCCAGGGCTGAGGATAGCAGTTCCCTTACCTTTGAGGCCCTGGTTTATGCTTTTCTGGTCAGAGGACTCATTATCAAACAAGTGCTTCTTGATCATGCAGATCTTCAGGGCCAGAAAGCACGCCACTATCACAACACCCAAGGCCGTCCCGATGAGGGCGTATTTGAAATCTGAAGTGAGGGAGGAATTAAATAATGGACTTCGACCAGTCCTATGGCTCCTTTATATTTGGGATGAAGTTCAAAGTCATGCACACGAGACTCCAATCACCGAGACAACCTAATTGTCTACTCTCCCAGGAGCATGTTCCTTCCCTGGCACTTGCCCACATCCCAGCTCCTCCTCCTGGAACTCTCCCCTGGCCCCACAGCTGAGGAAGCCATTCCCTAGTGGCTGATGGCTCTTTTCCCTGGCCTCCTTCTTCACCTATCCCTTCATTAACTCCCTTGTAGAGCACGTGTGAGTGACCTGCTCCATGGTCAGTGTGGAGGGTAAATGAGTGAGGCCCTGACACTCTCTTGAGGAGCTAAGAGGTCACACTCATGCCAGGTAACAGGGTGGGTTGAGTTGATGTCAAAGTTGCAAGCCTTCCCGGAAGGCATGACATGCCAATTGCACTGTGCCCATAAGGTGGGCCTTGGAGGTGAAGTGGGGCTGGGACCATGCAGGTAAAGGGCAGCACTGGTCATAAAAGCAAGGCAGAACCAACCTTGGGGGGTGAGGCAGGGCGCATGGTTACAGAGCAGGGGCTGGAGCTCCTGAGGCTTCTCACAAGAGGCAGGGAAGGAGGCCCTGATGTGCCAGGTTCCCTTTGAGGACAGACTCTTGCATATGACCTTGCCTCCAGGACAACCCGTTAGCCACTCAGGTGGGACCAGAGGTGAGGGCGGCTCTCATTCTGTGGTGACTGGCAGGAAACCAATACCAGCACATACCCCCACCAGCCCAGGCCTCCCCCTTTTTTTTAAGTTTATCAAAACTAAGATCTATTTTTTTCTTTATTGAGGTAACATTGGTTTATAGCACTGTACAAGATTTAGGGGAAGAGTTAACCTCCTCGGATGAATGTTACCACTTCACCCCACCACCAAAGCACCCACAATTCTCTGCCGTAAGTTCCCATGTCTTTTGGAGTGCCTCCTTCCTGCCCACCAAACCATCCTCACAGAATAAGCTGTGCAGCCACCTACCAATTTCAGGCCCAGGAGTCTTGCCCGTTGCCAGCACCTGAGCTCCTCCGACATCTGCAGAGGAAGATAACCCAGAATCTGGTTAGGACAGAGCTGCTGGCTGTGACCAGCATAGAAGTGAGTTCCCGGTCTTGCCAGGGCCTTACAACCCTCCTCAAAACCCAAGCCAGAAGTGAGATTCTGTCAAGTTCTAGAAAGCAGGTGACTTTGTTGGGAGGCACCAGATCTTACCCAGCTACCTCCCTGTATTTCATGCCTGGCAGGACTGGATGGGCTAGGTCCACTAAACAGAGTGGCTGTGACTGGACACTGACTTCTGGCTGGTACTGGCAACTCAGAGCTGCAGAGCTGCATGTGCTGCTTGCTCACTCTGGTCCTTTCCTGACCCCTTTCTGGCTTGTCTCTGCTTATACTGGGCAGAAGGCAGGGGTCAAGCAACAAGGCCAAGTAAGGGCCAGCTTCACCCTTTCCCCCTGCATATACTCCATCTTTCCCGCCTCCCACTTGGGTCTTCATCCCTTGGTGACCATCGCTCTCCCTGAGGAGCATGTGGCATTAAAACTTTGTACAGGTCCAAGATGAAACTTGAACGGAGAAAGGAAAAGGACACAGATCAGAAAGAACAAGATGAAAAGAGCTAGAAAGACAGAGAGATGCAGGGAGAGGAACACCAGGAGTCAGGAGCACTCAGGGACACATGGAGGCTGATCCTGAGAAGCCCAGGCAGCTGGCAGGAGGGTGAGAAGGAACGAGAACGGCCTTGTACTTCTAGCAACATCCGGCAGCCAGTGTCCTTCATGCGCCTCGCCCATCAAATATGTCATCCAGAACTCTGGGCTCTGTGCCCCTCCCTGACAGGGATTCTATGGATCAGGCCCCACTTCTCACCGAGTTGATCCCTTAGACACCACCCTCCATGCTTCATCCTGAGCTCCCCACAGGCTGGGAGGCTGCCCCTGGCCCCCGCTTCTAAACAGACTCTTTCTGGGTTTCCTGCTCTGCCTCAGCCCCCATCAGGCACAGAGTCAACGCCCTCCATGGGGTCACTGCTTTCACAGCTGCAGGTCTGCAGGCCCAGACAAGGCACCAACCTGGGCCACATCTTGTCCCAGTAATTCCTGCTAGCCAGCCGATGGCCACTCGGGGGCAGTCTTTCCCCTCCTCGGGGAGGGAAGTCCCTCCACGCAGCCCTCCCTGGCAGGCTGGGCAGCCTCTCATCCTGAGCTCTAAGGAGCCCCTGGGTGAGGATCCATCATTAACACACTAGCCCGGCCTGTGAGCCCACCCCTCCCCGCCGCCTCTTGCCAGGGTCAGGAGCTGTGGATAGACCCTTACCAAGCCCCTGACGCCAACGTCCCCTGGCTCTGTAAAGTAGCTGGAGGATGGATGACTCTAGCAGGCCTGGTTTGTGAGCACAGCCAGATTGGTCTCCAGAGTACTCCGGACTTTTAGATCTGAGAGATCCTAGAGGAAGCTGTGCTGCCCTTCTCTGCTGGAATTCTCTGGGTTTTCTTGCACACAGGAGGAGGGAGCTTAGCATCCACAGAATAGGCTTTCAAACCCAGGGGAGCATCTACAGGGTCTGAGTAGGGGCTGACTATACCAAGGCTGGTCCCCCTGGGCATGCGCAGGGACCTGGCTGGGCAAATCAGGCTTGACCACCTGCTCGGCTCAGACTATCCACTCTGAGCCGGGTGCAGAGGACAGGAGCAGGTCTCACAGCGCATCCTTGCTCCTGCTTACAGCAGAGAACAGGGGGCTCCTCTAGGCGGCCTGCTGCCTTTCTAAGGCAACCTCCCTCCGCACAGCCTCTGCGTGTGCCCAGGTCAGGACCTGCCCCCAGGAGCACTCAACAAGCCACACACCTGAGATTACACCTACCCACAAAATGATGCCTTTTTCTGAGGTGCATAAAAGCACTTATGGGCTCTGAGAGTAGAGTCTCTGCTTCCTCTCCATGCCCCATTTGGACATGTTATTGCCAAATGACCTCCTCTCCTCCCTGCCAAAGTAGCCTTTCTCCAGGCCCCGTCTCTGCAGCCCCTCCCACCTCAGTCCTGCAGGACAGTTTCTGGACAGGAAGCAGCCTCGTGCAATAAATGGCCCTGAGGCCTGAGGCAGGAGGGTGTCCCTGGGTCACCTTCCCCCAGGATGTGAGGGCAGCTTCAGAGGAAGGCAGCAGGGCCCCTTTTGGGAGAGTGAGCTGAAGGTGCAGCATGACTTGCTCAGTTGGAATCTGACCTGCTGAGAGCCTCTCCCGACATTCAGACCTTCCTGTGCTGTCCAGGACACCTGCTGGACCCACCCTCAATGGGCTTGCCCTCTTCACTACCCTTATTTGGACAGAATCAGGCTGTGTGTTTCCACTTCTGTGGCAGTGGGCGTGTGTGCACTCAGTTGTCGATTCTATAAGTATCTGAGCTAAAAATAGGGAGAAGCTGCCCTAAGTGTTTGTCAATTGTTGCCTGGCCATTTTCATCTTGAAACTTAAATATTGCAGAATGGTCCCTAACTTTAGATCTCAGGAATTCCAACATTTCTCAGCTACAGGAAGGGGTTTTAAATGTCTGGAGCAAGCATCCGTCATCTCCTGACAAGCCCCCACACAGGAGTGAAGAATGTGCAGTGTGCTCTGTGTGGCCCTGGGGATTAAAGAGAAACCTCAGACCTCTGTCCCCCATGGAAGTGCTTACCAGACAGAAGAGACAAGATTTACACTGAAGAAAGATCAGAGTGTCAGAAGCAATGTTCAAACCTTCCTAAAAACCTCAGTCTCCAGGAGCTGGAAATCTGAAGAGGCAGAGGCTATGGGGTGGGCACTAGCTGTTTGCCCTGATCACTTCTCCCCCCCCCCCCCCCCCCCCCCGCAACTCTTGACCTCTAGGGGACTCTGGTTTGGCTTTGGGAGTCCCCTTCCTGTGATGCCAGAAGGCTGGCTCTAAGGTAGACAGTGAACCCTGGCTGGTTAATTAGCATATTCCTTCTTCCTGCCAGCAGTGATTGGTCAAGAGTGGGTTATACAAGCAGCCCAGTGGGACTCAACTCTGGGACTTTGGGGAAAATCCTGAGAAACAGGAGTGTCTTCTGGCATAGGAAACTGCAGGGCCGAGGGAGGATTCCTGAGTGGTGGGCATCTGCTGACACTGAAGCCCAAACAGAAGAGGATCAAGGTGAGACCAAGCCCTAAGACAACTTGTGAGACCCTAAACCCAGTTTGCCTGAAGCCTGCTGAAGCTTCAGATGAGGGTGGGGAAGCCTTGCACCTCTTCCTGACTTTTCAGTCACCTAAAGAAGGAAATGCCTTATTGACCTTAAATCTTATCTGAGCTAAGGGCTGTCACCCGCATTTAGATGAGTCCTGATAACTGAGGTGGGTGGTCCTTCAGAGGTTGATTCCATCGGAAATCAGGTTGATAAGGCAGGGACTGGAGCCCAGGATGCTGGCTGTGAATGAGAACTCACATGAGCCAGAAAAGATCCACAAGCTAAGCAACCCTGCAGGCCTCTGTGCCTTTGCACATGCTATTCTCTTTGATGAAATGCCTTTCCTTGTCCCCATGGAAAGCTCTTACTTGTCCTTCAAGATAGCACAAAGCTCTGGAGGTCCCCTTGCTCTCTGTTGGTCCAGGAAATCGCCCTGCCACCTCAGCAAGCCTCTGCCCTGCTCTGTCCGTTCCAGCCTGCAGGTGGTTCTGTGGCAGGAAAGACACACTTCACATAGCCCAGGATAACCTGTTTCTCCCCAGGACCAGGATGCTATGTAAGGCTCCTTGCAACTGAGTTTCTCCTTCAGGGAGATGCAAGAAGAAGGTAGAAGGGGAGAATCCTATTCTGACTGGGAAATTACCCAAAATGAGTATTAAACCAGAAGTGATAAAGATCAAGTTTCTAGTATTCAGTCATAATAGGGACTTAAGAAGAAAGTTAAAAAAGGGGGGGGGGTGCTCCCTGGTGGTGCAAGGGATTAAGACGCAACCTATGAAGCTGTCTGCAGCCATGGCAGCACAAGTTCGATCCCCAGGCAGGGAGCTACCCACATGGCGCAGCAGACCTCTCCTGACTCACCCCCTGCTCCCCTCAGCAGTGTACTTTGGTCAATCTGCCTGTTCTGTTCCCCCCTCTGTCTCTGGTGAATCCTTCCCCCACCCCACACCTCTGGCCTGTACCCCAGCTCTTGTATGCATAAATAAATATTTTTTAAAAATGTATTACATTAAGGGCCTCCCCGGTGGCGCAGCGGTTGAGCACTGGGTTGCGAAGCTGCCCGCAGCCTCTGCAGCACGGTTTGATCCCTGGCTGCTCCCCGGCCACGGCCACCAGAGGAGGGTCCCACATGGCGCACAGACCTCTCCTGCCACCCGCTGCTCCCCTCAGCAGTGTACTTTGGTCCTTCTGCCTGTTCTGCTCCCCGCTCTGGCTCTGGTGAATTCTCTCACCCTCCCGCGCTTCTGACTGTACCCAGTGCTTGTATAAATAAATAAATAATCTTTAAAAAAATATATATTACATTAAAAAAAAAAGATGAAAGTAAAAGCCAGCCACAGAGGAATCAAATGACAGCATTGTTCCCGTAACTCTGACACTGCTGCTGGGAACACATGTGGGACACTGTACATGCAACATGCATGGGGCCCCTTGGGAACATGAGTGGGCACAATTGCTGTGCATGTATCTGGCTTCCCCACCTGTGGTCCCTGGTCCAAGCACAGCATCCCCAGCATCCCGCTCAGAAGGAAGCCTGGCCAGGGCACTAGCCATGCAGAGTGAAAGGGGACAGTCCAGTGATGCTCCACAGATGGCTCACAGGCCTCACCTTCCTCATCTGAAAATGGGCACCGAAGACCGTGACATGGAAGGATCGGGGGTCCTTGCTCTTTCACTGTTCCATGGGCCTGGGTGATGCCAGAAATTAAGTGTGCGAAATCTAAGTGCAGAAAGTCTTCAGTCCTCTCCTGAGCAGGACACAGATGACCGCTGAGTTGCCCTGGGTGACGCAGGGCCCCTGTTCCCTGCAGCCTCTGGGATGGCTCTTGGGTTTTGCGCCTTCCTTGAGC